AGAAGGCGGAGTATCTGCAGCGATGCGCAGAGGTGTTCGGCGGGGAGGGTCAAGAGACGAACCAGCTGGGATTGGAGGACGTGCCGTGGCCTTGTCGCCACGGCAACGCGGACAAAATGATGGAGGTGCTTTTATGCGACGTGGACAGAGGCGACGCGGCGGAGCTGAAGAGGTTCGTCCGTTCGCAGCAGCTGCTGTGGCATCCGGACAAGTTCCTGCAGAAATGCGGCGGCAGATTGGCGGAGGGGGAACGGGACAAGATCCTGGAGAGGGTCACCCAGTTATCCCAGGCCCTGAACCAATTAGGAGAGGATGACAAACAGAACTAGGGGGAACGGGACAAGATCCTGGAGAGGGTCACCCAGTTATCCCAGGCCCTGAACCAATTAGGAGAGGATGACAAACAGAACTAGGGGGAACGGGACAAGATCCTGGAGAGGGTCACCCAGTTATCCCAGGCCCTGAACCAATTAGGAGAGGATGACAAACAGAACTGATGCGACCTTGAATGAAGAGCCGTACAATGCAAGCTATTCAGTAACTCTGTATGGGTACAATCAACGTGATCCAGTCTGTTTGGAAAACATTTGCCCTAACTGCACTTTCCAGTTCAGTGATTTCTGATTCCTGAAACTATGGAACCCTAGAACCCTGGCTCTTTTATTTACTCCAGTAACATACAAGCGTGGAACTTAGGCCAGTATTTAAGTGTCCAATGACATGAAACATTCTACTTCTCTTAAGTGTGCGAAATCTTTTTTGAGGTCCTTGCTTTGGTGAATGCAACTGAAGAATGCACTTCTTAGAAACACAGTCGCTTCAATTCGTCCATGCTTTTCCTGACAAGTGAGGGCGCTGTTGCTGTGATGTCATCACAAGAAGACATTGCTCACAAAGTGTGGTAAGTCGTGCAGAAGTGGTAAAAATTTGATTTGCAAAAGGAATAAGATGCAAATTGAAGAAAAAATGTAAAATTTGTGAACTGAAAGAGGCAAGAAGGTTCAGTAGATAAGGAGGCCTGAATATTTGGTTCTTTTCTTTGGCTGTGTCTCACGTGAACAATAAAATGTTTATGTTGAGGGAAATTGATGAAAGGCCTTGATGTATTCAGTGCCAGGAATATCCATGACTTTTTGCATCAAATCCCTTGACTTACTGGTTCAATCCATCGTTTGTTAATTTTTGCGTTATGTCCGTTTGAGGCAACAAAAGTGCTGAAAGTTTAACGAAGGGTGCCTAAAAACTAACATGATGAAATTTTTGCTCGGTGAATACTGTATATTTTTTTTAAATTCTAGGATCTTTATTTCAAATCAAAAGTAAAGTGTCAAGTTTTGACTTGCACCTGAATTACACATGCTGAACACTGCTGAGTGTGGCTACATGATGCCATCCATTGATCTGTTGAGTTACAATAACCCACCCACATGTGCGTCATGACAACGCTTGCGCGTGCTTCAATGAAAAGAAACTGCTGCTGGCAAGTTTCCAAAAACTGCGTCTGTAGGTGCATCGTTGGAAATGGCCTTCTTTTATTGTTTTCTTTATATTGACACATTGATAGTTGAGTCCCATAACTATCTTTAAACCAAGTGCATGTTGTAACAATACTATCTTCAGTTACTTTTTTAATAGCAGCAAATGATGGACTGTACCTTGAAAGAACCATTCAAAGCTGAGACAGCTCATTTTTGGGCATAGTTGGAACTGAAATACTTTCCTGTTACATTCAAATCATCTAACACCTGTCATTAAAGAAGTGGGTGTTCCGTGTCTTGTGTTGAATTTCATTTTAGACAACCACTAACCAGCTAGTCATCTTGAGCCAGTCATGCTAGACAACCAGTAACCAACCTGTCATCTTGAGCCAGTCATGCTAGACAACCAGCAACCAACCTGTCATCTTGAGCCAGATAACAGTAACCAGCCGGTCATCTTGAGCCTGTCATGCTAGACAACCAGAAACCAACCTGTCACCTTGAGTCAGTCATGCTAGACAACCAGTACCCCCAGTCGGTCATCTTGAGCCAGTCATGCTAGACAACCAGCCACCAGCCGGTCATCTTGCGCCAGATAACAGTAACCAGCTGGTCATCTTGAGCCAGATAACAGTAACCAGCCGGTCATCTTGAGCCAGATAACAGTAACCAGCCGGTCATCTTGAGCCCATCATGCTAGACAACCAACAAGTTTCCAGGCATCCGCATTCTTTCAAGCCTGCAGTAATCATGTAGTGGAATAGCAGAGGTAGGTGTCATACCAAATTTTGCAGGCTTTTGTACAGGCACTCTCTTGGTAGGTTTCTCCAACCTCCTGCATTGTTAAAATGAAGGCTGGTTTGTACTTAAGGGAATGAGAAAGCAAAGCGAATTTGACGTCACACAAGATTTGCAGCAAAAAGGTCCCTTGAGTTGAATTCTGTTCAACATTAGTGAATTCATAGTGTGAATATTTGATTTGACATCACAAATTCTCTTTTGTGTTCGCTTTCCCGCCAGCTATGAACTTTCCTTAATACAGGTACATGTATTTTCACTCTGTCAACTTTCAACCAGAAAATGTACATCAGCAAGAGGATTGTTTGTGGTGGATTTCCTTGTGAATGTTCCGTCTGTAACAAACATTTCTCACACTCATTTACAAGTCGTTTCCCTGGCATTTTTTGTTTTTACAGGTTTCAGTTTGTTGGACGGCAGTGGCTTCTATCGCCATGGAAACAGCTATTTCCAGAAATCCATGCAAATTCTCAGTTTTCATAAAAAAAGTAAATATAAACAATTGTTCATTGCTTATCANTACGTATATTCATAACACTGCGTACTCAGGGTTTGTCCAAAAGCTTTCAAGAAAACACTACACAATTAGCCCATTGTAAATCCACGGGAATCTTCAACTTTTCCACCCACGTTATGTCCGTTCTCAGTTTCGGTGGGATTTGTTGACATTTGGAATGAGCCTATTAACTCCTGGGCCCAATTTCATGGCGCAGCTTAACAGTTAGCAGAGAAATTGTGCTTAGAAACTTTTGCTGACCGTAAGCACTATTTCATGACAGTGCTTGGTGTGGTCGTGCCTATGATTGCTCACACATAGAGCGTTCCATTGTTTTGTCACGTTGTAAAGCAAAGTCTTCCTCTGAGCTAAGCGTGCCTTTTGCCTCGGGTACTGCATAGAGTCTCCATGAAATACACGGAGCCTGTGTTGGTATAAAATCTTGTGCTTAGCAGTGCCGTGAAATTGGGCCGTGGTGTAGGGGTTTCCCCTAGATCATCACCTGGCTAAATTCTCCAATTCTGATTCAGACTTTGAAATGTTGTGTTACAATTCAGAATTTATTTCCATGCATCAGATTATAACCAAATGCAACTTTTAAACAAGGACAGGAAAAATTACACATTTACAAATGTCTTGAATTATTTGGGATTTTTATTAACAACTTGACTTCAGAAAAAGCAAAATGTTTCATTGGAGACTAGATATTGACTAAATATTGGAGTTACGTTTTCTGGGTATTAGAAATGTTTAATGTCTTCACATACTCCAACACTTTTTGGCAAGTAACATAATAATGAAAGGTTTGTGCGTTGAGCTTGATATGATTGAGATCTGGAATTTTGGGTTCACACCCAAGTTCCATCGTTAAAATGCTGATTTGGAAACTGAAATTTCTATTAATGCTGTGTGCTTTTGTGG